CCTACACAAAGATCTGTGTGGTATGTTTGATAACTGCGCAGTGAAAGGTGAGACTATATGGACGGTTCGAACCTACACAAAAATCTGTGTGGTATGTTTGATACATGGGCAGTGAAAGGTGAGACTGTATGGACGGTTCGAACCTACACAAAGATCTGTGTGGTATGTTTGATAACTTGGCAGTGAAAGGTGAGACTGTATGGACGGTTCTAACCTACACAAAGACCTGTGTGGTATGTTTGATTAATGGGCAGTGAAAGGTGAGACTGTATGGACGGTTCGAACCTACACAAAGATCTGTGTGGTATGTTTGATAACTGCGCAGTGAAAGGTGAGACTATATGGACGGTTCGAACCTACACAAAAATCTGTGTGGTATGTTTGATAAATGGGCAGTGAAAGGTGAGACTGTATGGACGGTTCGAACCTACACAAAGATCTGTGTGGTATGTTTGATAACTTGGCAGTGAAAGGTGAGACTGTATGGACGGTTCGAACCTACACAAAGATCTGTGTGGTATGTTTGATAACTGGGCAGTGAAAGGTGAGACTGTATGGACGGTTCGAACCTACACAAAGATCTGTGTGGTATGTTTGATAACTGGGCAGTGAAAGGTGAGACTGTATGGACGGTTCTAACATACACAAAGATCTGTGTGGTATGTTTGATAAATGGGCAGTGAAAGGTGAGACTGTATGGACGGTTCGAACCTACACAAAGATCTGTGTGGTATGTTTGATAACTGGGCAGTGAAAGGTGAGACTGTATGGACGGTTCGAACCTACACAAAAATCTGTGTGGTATGTTTGATAAATGGGCAGTGAAAGGTGAGACTGTATGGACGGTTCGAACCTACACAAAGATCTGTGTGGTATGTTTGATAAATGGGCAGTGAAAGGTGAGACTGTATGGACGGTTCGAACCTACACAAAGATCTGTGTGGTATGTTTGATAACTGGGCAGTGAAAGGTGAGGATATACTGCTATTTACAAAGTTGAGGAAAAGTTTAATTGCAATTCAACTGGACAATAATTTCATATTTCTGCTTGGATGGATCTTACCATGATGATCGTAACATGTCTGACACAAAAGCTTCGAAGATATTTGATAACATATTGGTAGGCACAAACGTTTCGCTGTTTGACCTTGACAGTGGCTGGCACCAACTGTTTGAAGAGAGTTATGAACGACGATGGATAAATACCAGCATATACTCAAGAATTCCCGGTCTCAAAGTTAATGCGAGGGTTAATCAAAGCTAAGTCTGTAGGCTTACATGTAAACTGTGATCCACAAATTTGATTGTGTAACGTTATAACGTCAGGTCTCTGTGATGGTGAAAACCGCTCTTGTGTTTGCAGGGAGACAATAGTGTGTAGTTGGTTATTTTTTCCGTGGAAGATATTTTCGCTATTTCACGTCCCTTTACATCCAGATCGCTTAAATTTGATTCGTTAAAATATAATTCGATCGTTATTAATAAAAATCGCGAAAATTTTGAGCCGCGAAGATTACCAGCTATACGGTAGAAAGAAAACTACCTGCAGCGCTGTTAGGACATCATGATAAAAAAACACAGGCATAATTTTGAGTTTAAAAAACTGGGTTTTTTTTCCAAGTCTATGAAATACAATCATATCCATTGAGCACTAAATGTATTTCAGTAAATGTTGACCTTGAGAGGTAATGTAGGATAATTCACATTAGTTGGGAAAGAGGCTTAGTGTCTTGTTGGAGGAATCTCTTTCTAATTCAGAGTTGTCTGCGTGACATCGATGATTGACTGTGGGATTATGTTGAGATGGACTGTGGTATTGTGGCGAAAAAGTGCAAAGAAGAGCTGAATAGATCTGTATTCAGAAAACGTACGGCGACAAAAACATGTTTCTGCCGGCATGGACAAACAGAGAATGTCAAGACAAACTACAGTCATATGCTTTGAATGAAAAGCATTCATAGATTGATAGAGGGCAGTTACATCGCCATACAAGCACTAATACAGCCGACACAATTTCCGTCGTTCGGAAATCTCGTAGAATCTATTATGCCCTTCAAAGAAATGAAAATAAAAGAAGGATCGGAAATTAAGAAAAAAGAGACATAACATATTCTCATTTGATGTAACATTTGGGCTATTTTTGTTCTTAATCACAAAGAACGATGTTAGTTCATTGCATTTGCGACAGATAATCTTCATATCAGGCTAGGTGTCAACTGATATTTGTGTCCAAACGATGATTAATATGACGAATAGAATAAGACGCATGTTTATGTGAATGGTGATATCTGGCTAGGTTTAATTGACAGATAACATTAAATTTTAGGTGACAAGCGATATAAGGATGATTTTTAAGTGACAAGCGATGTAAGGATGATTTTAGGTGACAAGCGATATAAGGTTAATTTTTAGGTGACAAGTGATATAAGATTGAATTTAGGTAACCAGCAATATAATGTTGATTTTTAGGTACATGTAACAAGCGTTGTAAGGTTAATTTTTAGGTGACAAGCGATGTAAGGTTGATTTTGAGTTGACAAGCGGTATAAGGTTGATTTTTAGGTGACAAGCGATATCAGGTTGAATTTAGGTAACAAGCGATATAAGGTTGCTTTTTAGGTGACAAGCGCTATAAGGTTGAATTTAGGTAACAAGGTTTGTAAATATACTATACAACAAGGTTTGTACAACAAGGTTTGTTGATATACTGTACAACAAGGTTTGTAAATATGCTGTATAACAAGGTTTGATGATATACTATACAACAAGGTTTGTACAAGGTTTGTTGATATACTATACAACAAGGTTTGTACAAGGTTTGTTGATATACTGTACAACAAGGTTTGTTGATATAGTGTACAACAAGGTTTGTTGATATACTGTATAACAAGGTTTGTTGATATACTGTATAACAAGGTTTGTTGATATACTGTACAACAAGGTTTGTTGATATACTGTACAACAAGGTTTGTTGATATAGTGTTCAACAAGGTTTGTTGATATACTGTATAACAAGGTTTGTTGATATACTGTACAACAAGGTTTGTTGATATAGTGTACAACAAGGTTTGTTGATATACTGTACAACAAGGTTTGTTGATATACTGTATAACAAGGTTTGTTGATATACTGTACAACAAGGTTTGTTGATATAGTGTACAACAAGGTTTGTTGATATACTGTACAACAAGGTTTGTTGATATACTGTACAACAAGGTTTGTTGATATACTGTACAACAAGGTTTGTTGATATACTGTACAACAAGGTTTGTTGATATAGTGTACAACAAGGTTTGTTGATATACTGTACAACAAGGTTTGTTGATATACTGTACAACAAGGTTTGTTGATATACTATACAACAAGGTTTGTTGATATAGTGTACAACAAGGTTTGTTGATATAGTGTACAACAAGGTTTGTTGATATACTGTACAACAAGGTTTGTTGATATAGTGTACAACAAGGTTTGTTGATATAGTGTACAACAAGGTTTGTTGATATACTGTACAACAAGGTTTGTTGATATACTATACAACAAGGTTTGTTGATATAGTGTACAACAAGGTTTGTTGATATACTGTACAACAAGGTTTGTTGATATACTGTATAAAAAGGTTTCTTGATATACTGTATAACAAGGTTTGTTGATATACTGTACAACAAGGTTTGTTGATATAGTGTACAACAAGGTTTGTTGATATACTGTACAACAAGGTTTGTTGATATACTGTATAACAAGGTTTGTTGATATACTGTACAACAAGGTTTGTAGATATACTGTATAACAAGGTTTGTTGATATACTGTACAACAAGGTTTGTTGATATAGTGTACAACAAGGTTTGTTGATATACTGTACAACAAGGTTTGTTGATATACTGTATAACAAGGTTTGTTGATATAGTGTACAACAAGGTTTGTTGATATACTATATAACAAGGTTTGTTGATATAGTGTATAACAAGGTTTGATGATATACTATACAACAAGGGTTGTTGATATAGTGTATAACAAGGTTTGATGATATACTGTACAACAAGGTTTGTTGATATACTATACAACAAGGTTTGTTGATATAGTGTACAACAAGGTTTGTTGATATAGTGTACAACAAGGTTTGTTGATATACTGTACAACAAGGTTTGTTGATATAGTGTACAACAAGGTTTGTTGATATACTGTATAACAAGGTTTGTTGATATACTGTATAACAAGGTTTGTTGATATACTGTACAACAAGGTTTGTTGATATAGTGTACAACAAGGTTTGTTGATATACTGTACAACAAGGTTTGTTGATATACTGTACAACAAGGTTTGTTGATATACTGTACAACAAGGTTTGTTGATATACTGTACAACAAGGTTTGTTGATATACTGTACAACAAGGTTTGTTGATATAGTGTACAACAAGGTTTGTTGATATACTATACAACAAGGTTTGTTGATATACTCTACAACAAGGTTTGTTGATATACTGTATAACAAGGTTTGTTGATATACTGTACAACAAGGTTTGTTGATATAGTGTACAACAAGGTTTGTTGATATACTGTACAACAAGGTTTGTTGATATACTGTACAACAAGGTTTGTTGATATAGTGTACAACAAGGTTTGTAGATATACTGTACAACAAGGTTTGTTGATATAGTGTACAACAAGGTTTGTTGATATACTGTACAACAAGGTTTGTTGATATACTGTATAACAAGGTTTGATGATATACTATATAACAATGTTTATTGATATACTGTATAACAAGGTTTGATGATATACTATACAACAAGGGTTGTACAAGGTTTGTTGATATACTGTACAACAAGGTTTGTAAATATACTATATAACAATGTTTATTGATATACTGTACAACAAGGTTTGTAAATATACTGTATAACAAGGTTTGATGATATACTATACAACAAGGTTTGTACAACAAGGTTTGTTGATATACTGTACAACAAGGTTTGTACAACAAGGTTTGACTAATATTTTACAGCAAATCACACGTGTGGAATCAACCAATTCAAGTGTTACCGGTCTTACTGTATAGACATGGAACAGCGCTGTAATGAAAACATTGAATGCAAAGAATCCTTTGTAGACGAAGACGGATGTCGTAAGTAAATTTCACTCGTCGAAGAGATGTCATTGTTCTTCAGTTATTTTGTAACTAGTTTTTAATTAGGAAAATATGTTTTATCATGTCCCACTTATAATTAAGAATATTTTAAATGTCATGACCATGAACTCTATCTTTATTCATGCAATATGTTAAATATTATTTCAACATTAATTGAAAACGGTAGTGAAAATGTAAAAGTATATAAAAAATATGTATTTTCTCTATACGTTAGTTTGACGAATTGTAATCCGAAGGGTTGTAATTATCTATTTGTTTCGGTCGCGGTATATAGTCAGAATTCCTCCCCATATACAATGTCAAATGTTTAGCGATCGATGCAAGGGTTGGCAATAAAGCAATGTTTTATGCAATTCACAACGAGCGATATCTGTAATCATACGTCGATGTAACGATAAAACATTTTCCTACAAACTTGCAGATGTGCCAAAACCCATTAAACAGTATTAGAGAAGTATTGCCATTCATTTTACCACCGTCTTCATTTTCCAGCATACTTGCCTTTATCACTATTACATAACCAGTCTAGTCTTGTCCTTGGAAATCTACTAGGAAGTAAGTTCTCGCGAGATTTGCGGTAAAGGTAACTAGGTCAATTAGCAGTTGGAAGACTAGAGGATTCTGTAGTGCCGACCCTTTCATGGCTATCGACCGCGACAAAGACAAAAAACACCGCGCAATGAAACCTTTGGACAAGACCGATTAGAACATATTTTGTTAAAATATAGTCGATACTCATTATCTCGAAATTCAAGGGACTGTGGAAGATATTTCCACTAATTCAAATTTCAACTCTAGTGTCCAAATGAAGCGGACAATATCAATTTCCTGACGTTAATTACGATTTAACAAAGTTACGGCTAAATTTCGATGAAATTCGAGCCATCCGAACTAAAATTACGAAGATGTAGAAGGAAAAAATCGGGACTTGAAAAATTATTGGAACTTAAACGGATTTTCGACCCAAGCGATTGCGTGGCAACGAGTATCAACTGTATATCCATATTGTTCGAAATTTTAGAATATACCAGCCCAAATGTAACCTCAATATATTGTACATATAATGTCCCTTGCAGTGCTTAATTTCTAGGTTAGTATGTCATTCAAGGTTTATACATAATGATAAAGTTACTCAAGATTATAGTCTTCTTATTACTGATACGGGTTTTGTAAATGCTTTCATGCATTCCTGAATGTTTGTTTAAACGTGATTTGACTGTTTTTGGAATAATTGTATTTTTGTGGTGGCGTAAATGATACAAAGGGGCGCCACCTACTGTTTCCGGTATGATGTGGTGAAAATTAAACTAATCGCCAGTGTTTGGATGTGCTTGATGTAATAAGTTTTAAAGATGTTTCATAGGAAAGAATTTGGCTATCAACCGAAAATAAAACTCCTTAAGTAACTGTGTGGTTTTATATAACAGTGGGAAAATATTAAGGAATATTTTAGGTGTTACGGTAACGAAGTCTTATATATTTCCTTTATCAAATTATAGTTTCATTTCAGCCTATCGCTGCCCGTATAAGACTGAGGAGTGTATGTGTGAGGGTGACGAGATTGACTGCAGTAATATGGGGCTGCACGTGCTGCCAGCTGGCCTGGTATATGAGAAAGCCCTTCGGCAGTTGTACGTGTATTTGATACTAACCTCTTTAACCACAATCCAAAGCGTAATTAGTAGTCTGGCGCAAATTAGGAAACAAAATCCAGTCTTAAATATGATCTTCTGTTGAGTAAATGCCATATAACTGTTATTTACTGTGTATGCGCTCCGTATGAAATGACATGTATTACGACTGTTTCAATAGTACGTAAAGAAAGAATCGCTAGTTATGTTTGGTTTTGGTCGTAGAAATAGAAAGCGTTTTTTTTCATTTGATTGAAGAATTTTACCAAATCAACATGCAGGTCGAAATGCAAATTGTTTCAAGGGAGAAGATGGTTTTATTTCGTATGTGTGTTTTTTTTTTTTTTTTGGCTCTCGTTCGACTGTGTTGATGATGATACTTGACATAAACCTATATATAAAATTTTATCACTATTTGTGAAAAGTTGCCAAAGATTGCCAGCATTAAATTGTCAGTAATTAGCGGTCAGTGCTGTGTCTATCGCCGTTCGTGTTTCCTTCATGGGAGTACAGTCTTCTTTCATTGGAATATTCCGTGCTGGTCGATCCCATTATTGCGTTAGGTATGTCAGCCGTATTATTGAAGTTATGTTACTTTATACATGACCGTCGTGAGGGCAAGCTAGTTGGACCAAATGTATGAGCATAAAAGACCAGACAAAAGGTCAGATATGATTGAAATTGGCCGTTTATTGATATATAAACGACGAACTTGAAACATAAGAGTCTCAAGCATGAACAACAAATTTTACATGAGAAGACATTTGGTCCTAGGTGGGGATAAAAAACGCCACCATGGTGTTCTAACAAATTAAAAGTAATCTTTAGAACAACGTACCCCACCTGACGCCCTCACGACAATAGTTTGATGTTTAGAATGAATCTATCTACGTTTAAGATGAAAATGAAAACAATGAGAATATGTAATTCCACGGGAAAATTATGTCCCTGAAAAGATGTAAAGTTACGAAAAAGTCCAACAATAAAAAAAACGGACCATGATTGTAGCTCCGACCCAATGCCCGAGACACAACAGGTCTGTATGTAACATTTGTGACATAAAATAGTCAAGAAAAACCATAAGTCTATGGAATGCTGTTGGTACACGTGGTGGTCCTGCCATTAAATTTTCTGAAGTCAAAGGCTAAAGTTGTATCCTGTTACCAAAAAGTAATAAAGATAATTAAAGCTAGAACCTGCATTATTATGGTAAATCGAAAGTACAAATAATACATTACTTTGTTATCGTGTTGTTAAGACTTCTCTTAGCTTACAATGTGACCGGAATAGCAAAATCAAATACCAGCAATCAAAGATGATATTTGAAACATAAATGCAAGTTTTCGTTTTGTAGCAATCTTCGAGGCAACTTCTTCAACCAAACACTGAACAACAATACTTTGAAACCATACAGTAGTCTGACTCACATGTAAGTACTCTGTGTCACTATCAACTCCTCTTAATTGAATTTACCTGACTTGTTTTCAAAGTAAAGAACTTACTTTATACACTGACTTCCAAATCTAAGTCCATGATTTTCAATATATCTATAACTTGAAATTTCACAGTTTTCAAACAAAACCACGAAATGTAATTACTAGTTTTACAGTTACATCTTCGTATTCAATGCATGATGTGGGGAAGTTGTTCATAGGCTAGTTTGTTACTCATTCCAGTCGTTACTTTGTGAATCCATTGTTGTTGCAGCGACCTAAGCAATAACTCCATTACTGTGCTGCCCACAGGCTGTTTCCTGAACTTGTTCCGACTTAGCTTATTGTAAGTGACATTCATTCATATTCTTATTGGTTCAGCAGGCAGATTCCATTACTAGTTTACACAATTCATATCTTTCTAATCTCGTCACAAACAATGTTGTATGATTTCTTATAGACAATTCATCTCCGCCTGTCTTTGATTATTCCTATTTAACCCTATATATTGATGTTCTTGGTGTGAATCATTCCACAGTGGTAAATAATGTATTTGTATGGTGAAACCTGATTTGTACTTAACAAAGCATATCGAATTACTTTTCATTGATAAATCTTTCTTCCGAATCGTCAATACTGGTACATCTAGACCATCACGATAAAGCTGAATAGTTTTGTGTTTTTATTTTTTTATGCTTCAGGAATTTGGCTAAAAACAGAATTCGATTGATTCGAAACGGTACCTTTCTCGGCCTGACAAGTTTAACAAGTTTGTAAGCATCGAGTTTATTTAAATATATTAAATTGATAAAGGCAGACGTTAGACTATCAGGTGCTGAGCAGTCACGTTGTGATTTAATACAAGTAGATATAATTACCGGCTGGAATATAACTCTTCATGACTTTACCAAAACCTTCATTCTGTATCTATATCTCAAGACCGCTGTCCTGGAGGTCAACAAAAGGTTTCGACCTCTGCAAAGACCGCTTGTAGTAGAGGCACAATGTAGCCGTTTATTAATTTTCAATAATGGCGCAGTCTTTTAAAGCTGTCTCTGATTTATAAACTTTTCAAACTCCTTTGAGTCTCGGGGTTCATTTCCAAACTAACACAGACAGAAGATTTGGAAATGTTTCTTCGCCATTACAAACACCAACAAGAAAGTCCAAAATGTGAGAAAGATTTGATAATACAATTGATTGGTCTCGTCCTGTAAAGAATTGGCCGATCGACAGCTTTTGATTGACAGTGCGGTTTAGCCAATCAGATCGCGGGTAGTATTCGCCTCTTTGTTTACGTTTCGCTACTCCGACATTCTCCGACAATGGTGATACGTTGCTGCTGGGGAACACCGATTTCGCTACCCCGAGCGATTATAGGGAGGTGTTGTGTTCATACCGTTTCCCAAATCTCAGATGAAGCATGAAAAGTGCAAATCTTGGCTCCGATTGTGCGGACGGCCTAAGTATCAACTTAACGAGGAGATCCTGTGGTGTCCTTCTAAAGGAAGGCATTTTTTATTTATGTCTGCTCAAAAGTGCGTAAATATTCACAGACTCACGTGTACAATATTGCAATGAACATCAGTATTTGTTTTTCACTCAAAATTTTGCTAGCATAAGTTTTATAATCCTCTCTCATGTGATAATAAGTCGCATTTTATGTGTGTATTTATAAACAAGCTTGATTTCGGACTGACCATTTTCGGATATTTATTGACTGAAGGGAAATGAAATTATCTGGACATGTTTCTGCTCTTTTACAAAGTTTTACTTTGTGAATGGTCTGTGATAAAATGTTATGGTTAAACAGTTGAAATAAAATCTTAAAGTCTTCCATTAAGGAAAAAAAACCATTAACATGATATAAATTAAAAAAAAAAAATTAAGAATTTAATGCCAGTTTAGAAAGTAACCATTATATCAGTGATGTACCTTGGTGGCCATTTTATAAAGACTTTATATGACTGTAAAAGCAAACTTGTTTTGTTTGTTTCTTTGGGGTTTACCACTTCATTCCCACTTGAAACAGAGGTGAAAGAAATTGCTGCTGCCGGGATTCAAACCCACCCGGCCCTCTGCACCCTTCTGGTCGTGCAGACTATGCTCTACCAACTGAGCTAACCCTGCATGGCGACTGTTTTTATTTTTATTTCATTAATTCTGCTCCATAGAAAGCAATCACACCACTTGAACTTTGTTTTGTTTTTAATTATTAGCAAAAATGTAGAGAGGAAAAAACATAAACATATTCAACATTGTGTGTTTAAAGGGTATCTGTATCGAATTTTTTTTTATGTATATGAAAATATAGGTTACTGTGACCACTTTACAAGAAATGAAAATTTTCAAAAATGAACCATAAAAGCGACATTGACTGTTAAAATGGCAAATATATAAAGCTGTCGATCGGCCAATTGTAGGAAGACGAAAACGATAGTACACATTGAAATGTGTCCCTATGTTGCCATCGTGCCTTACTCATTTTAACATGCAGAGGGTGGAATAACAAAAAGTATTTTATATATACACAGTATATAATGACATTTATACTGTATACTGGACACACAGTATATCATGACGTTTACACTGTATACTGGACACACAGTTTATCATGACATTTAGACTGTATACTAGACACACAGTACATCAAGACATTTATCCTGTATACTGGACACACAGTATATCATGACATTTACACTGTATACTGGACACACAGTATATCATGACGTTTACACTGTATACTGGACACACAGTTTATCATGACATTTAGACTGTATACTAGACACAGTATATCATAACGTTTATACTGTATACTGGACACACAGTATATCATGACGTTTACACTGTATATTGGACACACAGTATATCTTGACGTTGATACTGTATAGTAGACACAAAGTATATCATGATGTTTACACTGTATACTGGACACATTATATCATGCCGTTTACACTGTATACTAGAAACACAGTATATAATGACATTTATACTGAACACACAGTATATAATGACGTTTACACTGTATACTGGACACACAGTATATCAAGACGTTTATACTGTTAACTGGACACACAGCATATCAAGACTTTTATACTGGACACACAGTATATCATGACGTTTATACTGTATACTGGACACACAGCATATCAAGACTTTTATACTGGACACACAGTATATCATGACATTTATACTGTATACTGGACACAGTTTATCATGACGTTGATACTGTATACTGGACACACATTATATCATGACATTAACACCGTATACTGGACACACATTATATCATGACGTTTATACTGGACACACAGTATATCATGACGTTTATACTGGACACACATTATATCATGACGTTTATACTGGACACACAGTATATTATAACGTTGATACTGAACACACAGTATATCATGACATGTAAACTGTATACTAGACACACAGTATATCATGACGTTTATACTGGACACACAGTATATCATGACCTTTATACTGGACACACAGTATATTATGAATGTGATAATGGACACAGTATAGCATGACATTGTTGCTGTATACTGGTCACACATTATATCATGACGTTGATACTGGACACACAGTATATCATGACATTGACACTGTATACTGGACACACATTATATCATGACGTTTATACTGGACATGATATCATGACATTGATACTGTATACCGAACACACACTATATCATGACATTGACACTATATACTGGACACACAGTATATCATGACGTTTATACAAGACACACAGTATATCATGACATTTAAACTGTAGACTGGACAAAAATTATATCATGACCTTTATACTGGACACACAGTATATTATGAAGGTGATAATGGACACACAGTATAGCATGACATTGTTGCTGTATAGTGGTCACACATTATATCATGACGTTGATACTGGACACAAAGTATATCATGACATTTATACTGGACACACAGTATATCATGACATTTACACTGTATACTGGACGCACATTATATCATGAAGTTTACACTGTATACTGGAGACACAGTATATCATAGATGTTTATACTAAACACACATTATATCATGACATTTATACTGTATACTAGACACACAGTATATCATGACAATTATACTAGACACACAGTATATCATGACGTTTACACTTTATACTGGACACAGAGTATATCATGATGTTTATACTAAACACACATTATATCATGACGTTTACACTGTATACAGGACACAGTATATCATGACATTTACACTGTATACTAGATACACAGTATATCATGACATTAATACTGGACACACAGTATATCATGACATGTAAACTGTATACTAGACACATACTATATCATGACGTTAAACTGGACACACAGTATAACATGACATTGATACTGTATACTGGACACACAGTATATCATGACGTTTACATTGTATACTGCACACATTATATCATGCCATTGATGCTGTATACTTGACACACATTATATCATAGCGTTTACACTGAACACACAGCATATCATGACGTTGATACTGTATAAAGGACACACAGTATATCTTGACGTTTATACTGGAAACACAGTATATCATGACGTTTATACTGGACACAGTATATTATGATGTTTATACTGCACACACAGTATATCAAGACATTTATACTGCATACTGGACACACAGTATATCATAACATTTATACTGGACACGCAGTATATTATGACGTTGATACTGGACACACAGTATATCATGACATTGATACTGTATGCTGGACATACAGTATATCATGACATTTATACTGTATACTGGACACAAAATATATCATGACATTTATACTGGACATAGTATATCATGACATTTATACTCTATACTGGACACACAGTATATCGTGACGTTTATACTGTATACTGGACACAGATTATCATGATGTTGATACTGTATACTGGACACACAGTATATCATGACATTTAAACTGTATACTGGACAAAAATTATATCATGACCTTTATACTGGACACACAGTATATTATGAAGGTGATAATGGACACAGTATAGCATGACATTGTTGCTGTATACTGGTCACACATTATATCATGACGTTTATACTGCACGTAAAAGTATATCATGACATTGATACTGGACACACAGTATATCATGACATTTACAATGTATACTGGACACACATTATATCATGAAGTTTACACTCTATACTGGAGACACAGTTTATCATGACATTTAGACTGTATACTAGACACACAGTATATCATGACAATTATACTGTTTACAGGACACACAGTATATCATGACGTTAGCACTGTATACTGCACACTCAGTATATCATGACGTTTATACAAGACACACAGTATATCATGACATGTATACTGTATACTAGACACATAGTATATAATGACAGTTATACTGGACACACAGTATATTATGACGTTATACTGGACACACAGTATAACATGACATTTATACTGTATACTGGACACACATTATATCATGACGTTTACACTGGACACATAGTATATTATGAAGTTGATAATGGACACATAGTATATCATACCATTTACACTGTATACTGGACACACATTATATCATGACGTTTATACTGGACACAAAGTATATCATGACATTGATACTGGACACACAGTATATCATGACATTTACACTGTATACTGGACACACATTATATCATTACGTTTACACTGTATACTGGAGACACAGTTTATCATGACATTTAGACTGTATACTGGATACACAGTATATCATGATGTTTATACTAAACACAC